AAAATATCTAGTCTTCTAGCAGGTCCCGGCCAATGAATAACATTTGGGGGGAGCCGGCCACGACGTGATCACGGCTGGCTCTGCCCAGCTGTCACAGATCAGGAGAGCGGCGGTGTGCGGTGAGACAGCCAGCGCTGTCACAGGAGGCCGGCTGGCGGTGCGGGGGAGGAGTTAGCTGTCAGATCGAGCTCTCCTCCCCGCACCGCTCGCTCAGCCCCCTGTGGCAGCGTGGCAGGATGAAGAGCAAGGTACAAACACTCTGCGATCAGTGATCACTGAGTGTTTGTAAATAATTGGAGGACATGGTATGTTTACTATATACTCAATTATGAATGAATAGGAAATGATCTACATAACCTCCTGGTCATTCATAGTTGTGGTTATAGTAAGCATACTCTGTCCTCATGTTATAAATGAAAAGGAACATTCAGCATAGAGGATTCCTGTTGATTTATAACTGGGGCTGCAGAAAAAGAGATTGAGGACTTTGTGTTCTCAATCTCTTTTTCTATTTTAAAAGGGAAATATCAGGGGTCTAATATTTCCCTGAAGCACCTAAAAGTAAAAAATAATAATATATTTAATAAAAATAGTAAAATACATAAATAAAATGTAAAAAAAGTGTAAAAGTTTATTAAGTTTCGGCCCAACAATTTTTTTGTCATTTCAGTTTCGGTTTTAACATTTTTTTCATTTCGGTGCACCTCTAATAAACACCAATAATAAGTTACTTGGAGCAGATTTTATGCAACTTGTCACAAATTGGGACACTTTTAAATTTGGCACACTAGTCGCATCTTACTATTCAACTTATTCAAATTATTTGGTGCATTGCTAAAAATAGTCTTCCGTGCGCCACATATTTGGCGCAGAGTCAGTAGTTAATTTGGCCTAATAATCATCATTCTGACATATTACTTCAGAATTGTCTCACAGCTCTGAGGTATTACCTTATAAGTTATTTTTGTACAAGGTTTAATTTGCAATAAGCCATGCCCCTCCCTCCTATGTCCGCCCCCTAGCCATAGGCATGTTGTGAATGGTGCACTGTTAGACATGAAGAAAAACTGTCATTACTCTGCACTAGAGGAGAAACAGTTCATTCAGGACCCATATTATAATATACACTAAGAGATCATTTTGTCAGTTGTCATTGTTTACAATCGGGAAGAGGTAGAAAAAGCTACTGATCATGCCATCCCTGTGACAGCCAATCACAGCGATCACATGATTGGAAACTCCTTGCATTCAGAACCCCTGAAAGGGCCAGAAGAAGCCAGAGGCAAGGTCTTAAGAAAGGAAACAAAGTTTAAACACTCAGCTATTCTTTGCAACTTTCATTTAGTATACAAAGTATTTTACTACTGAGGTGTCACCATGCGAACATAAATTTACCTGGACACTTATGGCCTGAGCCAATAAACAACAGTTGGGGGTCAAGTTTAGGACATCAGCTAACTGAGTGGCAGATGTATGGGGCTGTCAGGTCTTACAGTTCACACTTTCACTACACTTCAGCCCTTTCTAACAGATGAACATGGACTAAGGCCCCATTCACACTGCGCGATTCGCAAATCGCGCGTTTGTCGCGCGATTTGCATTTTGTGCGATATTGCGCGACAAATCGCGCAAATGCTTGCATTGAGCAAGCTAGAATCGCGGCAAAATCCGCTCCAAAAAGGGTCCTGCTGTAATACCGCGCGATAAATCGCTCAGTGTGAACGGGGCCAAAGTGTTTTTGAACCAGCATGGGGGAGATTTAACATCTTTCTATTTCCAGATTATTGACAGAGTGGTTATTGGATTATGAGGGATGATGCAAGAGACAATCTTTTGTCTAAGGAAGCTTTTTGGATTTATCTAGGTACTAAGATGCTGTAAGGATTCAAATATTCTCGGAATGTTTAAAGCAGTTATTGCAGATATATTTTTGGGTGTATTTTAGTTTAAAGGTTTTAACTCATTTAGTATGCAAATGAAAAAACACTTAGTAAATGTGTTATTAGTATCTATAAGTTACTCCTTACTGTACTTTCCAAGCAGTAAAGCTTTAATGGCTTACTTTACCCACACTTCAGTAACTAAGACCTTGTTAGGTCAAAACGCGTCTTTAAAGGTGTGAATTGATAGTGAAGTTTTAAGCTATCCAGGGGGATGTTCTGTCCCCTCTTTTTCTGGAGTATTGTTTGTAGTATGGGAGGGAACATGGATTGTGAACTCCATTGGAGAGCTGATGGATCCCAAGAAGAGGGGTAAATTGATCATTTAGGGGGTTAGTCACAAAGCTGCCGAAGGCAGCCGAGTGAATAACCCAGCCGAAGTAAAGTTGGCCGAACAACGTTCGGCTATTCATTCCGGCTCAGTACGGCTGATTTCAGCCATACTTCGGTCAGCCGAACATGTACTGCATGTTCGGCTGAGCCAAAGTGCAGAAGGACTTCGACTCAGCCGATCCATTATCTGGATCGGCTGAGCCGAAGTTCCGGCAGCTCACTCGCTGCTGCTATTCACATAGGGGCCGAACATCAGTGAGTGAATAGCCGAATGCCGGCGAGCAGCATTCGGCTCGGCTATTATGCTTGGTACCTCCGTAGTACCGAGCTGAATAGAAAATAGTGAAAAAAGTTTTTAAAAAAAATAGAATAAAAAAAAAAGGTTAACAAAAGCCATAGGTTCGCCACCGCTGTTCTAGGAGGTCCCAGTCAATGAATAACAACTGGGCAGAGCCAGCCGTGATGTCATGGCCAGCTCCGCCAGTTGTTTTTGTTTAATGACAGATCAGCGTCCCCAGGTCATTTGGGGATGCTGATCTGTCATTATAACTGGGCAGAGCTAGCCGTGAGATCACGGCTGGCTCCGCCCAGCTGTAATTTGCAGGTCAAAAGGTCAGACTTCGGCCAGCCGTTCGCCCCGCTTCGGCTGTCGCTTCAGCTCGGCCGCCTTTGGCTGCTGTATGGGCTATAGTGAATAGCCCGTACAGCAGCCCTTCAGTTCAACTGAATCGAAAGGGCTCTGGCGGCCGAAGGATCAGCCGAAGCTACGGCTGGAATCTTCAGCACCTCTGTGAATAACCCCCATAATATTTTTTGCACAAAGTGTGAAAACACTACAACAGACCTTTTCCTATGACAATCCGAAATGTAGAATATAATTCCTACATTTACCAGACTTGCAGTGCTAATTAATGACCCTTCCCCTAATCGCCACCTCCTTTTACAAGAAACAAAACTTCAACAGTGGAGTAAAACTCTTCAGCATTGTGATATACTGTATGTTAGACAAGATAAAGCACTTAGAGTGTTCATATATCTGCTCCTGAGTATTTATAATACACACTGATATAGGAACAGATCTACTGAAATCATACACAAGAAGCCGAGTGCATTTACTATACAGAATTACATACCTGTCATTCTTTACATCCTTCTTGTGCATGTGATCAGTTTTCTCAAGGAAAGCTCCTCTACTACTTTCTGTCTGGAGATACTGGACAACGAGTGCACAACATGCTTCAAGGTCTTCTTTTTGCAAAGGCCTCATGTGATTACAAAGACTAAAAGATAAAAGTATACACCACGCTATTAGAAGCACATAACAATGATAGCAGTAGTAAGCTATAAAAAAAAGACAACTAGGCATGGAATTCTTTATATGTTGAACATGCACTCTCTACAATACTGTATCAGGGATTTCCATGCAAGATGCAAAGTGGTGAGATTAACTTTATACTTACAGCGGTGACTAGCTGAACTAACTGATTATTCACTTGGCTGTGATGTCCTGCGTTCACCTGCTATCATCATTCATATACCACATGCACTAGCTTCCAAACTGCTAACTGAATTTAATAAACAACTTCTAACTGTAGTCTGGGTGCAGAAAAGTGCAGTAAAATGTATTTGCCTTTCCTTTAGGTTCTCATGACCAGGGCTTGAAAAATCCACTCGTCCGCTTGTCTGTGACGAGAGGACGGCGGAGCACGACGAGCAGCTTCCTGGCCGGCCGTTGTAATTACACGGCCGGCCGGGAGCTTTACATTCGAGCGATCGGGCGTCTCTAGAGACGCTCGATCGTTTGTATTAGCAGCTGTCACTGCCGATGCCGGTTCCGAGATCCGATGTGCCCGATGCGGCCGGGACCGGCACGGCTCTGTGACAGGAGATCAAAAGGGAGTTCTGTATACGAACTCCCTTTGATCTCCTCTCAGTCCCCGAATGCAGGAAGTGATGTATACAGTGGCGGAACTACTGCCGGTGCAGGCGGTGCCGGGGCTAATCTATTGCTCTGATTAAATGATTACAGGTAGGCATGTGATCTATCAAAGTTTGAGACTACGTTAGAATGTGTGACCAGTGACATGGTCACACATTTTAACGTAATCTCGCCCAGTTTTTCGGCGGTGGAATAGGTGAAGAATTAGTTTTTTTACATTTATGGTACTTTTATATAGTAAGAAATTAAGTGACCTCCAAAAGAAAGTTCTATCTGTACCCCAAAAAATTTTAACATAAATTGCAAGGCTATAGTCCGGTCATGCTGACTGGTGAAATTTTTGACTGACTGGTGAGACACCATCAAATTTTTCAAGCCCTGCTCATGACCAACACCTATATAAAAGTTTTAAAACTGTACTTTTTTGTTATGGTTGTAACCATAACTGCATAGGGTGACTGCTGAATTTTTACTCTTGTAATGGCTGAATAGTGGTACATTTTTCCACTTTGTACGTACTTCCTCTAAGTACGTGATCATCCTACTTCCTACTTCATCATAGAGCTGTAAAGCTCTATGATGCTTTACTATCCAGGCCCTTACTCCTGGGGGCACAAAATCTACATTTTATTTTGGCAGTTTACTATAACGTTAAAGAAAGCCGTCAGCATAAAAAGCACCATTATGAATGAGTGCATATACTGTAGTGTAAACCTGATTTAACTTCTATAACACCCAAATGAGCAAAGCAAGTGTCACTGCAAATGTTTGGTTAAATAGTTTAACTTTCTCATGAGCAACAGAAAAGGAAGTACTTCATAACAATGTAGTAACATATAAACTGCATTAACACAAGTTGTCCGGTACATGTACATGAATAGCAAAAATAGCTCATGTATTTAGTGAATTGATCCCAGTGTCGTGCTTAATCTGTGGCGTAAACATATTGTATATAGAAACGGAGGGTGGGATGGAGTTTTTAGTCTCCTCTGGGTGCTTCAATTCCTGATCAGGTGGGAGGAGCAGTCTCTCGATTGGCTATCATGAAGAAGAAAAAGGCAAAGCAAAGATTATTTTTCTCTCTGTACCTTGCAGAAAAACAAAACACAAAAAACTTACCGTACAAGATGATCCTTCTTGGTAGGGGTTAGACTGGTAATCTGGTATAGCTGCATGTCTTTGGAGTCAATTTGCACTATCATATCTTCTACTGACTTCAGCAAATGGATGCATCCCTTCTCGGACAAGCTATTTCTACAAATCAAAAATAAAAGATAAAACACATTAGATCAAATAAAAATCATTAAGGCTGGATTAACACTAGTGGCTGCGCTACAATGCACTGTTTCCCTTTTTTTTTTAAACTTCATTGAAATCTCACGAGTGTCATTTCATTAAGTTATATGGGCACATCACGGTACGAATCACGGTTCACTGCGCTGAAAAAAGTAATGCATGCACTACTTTTTCTTAGTGCACACCACACAACGTGAACTGTGCCCATCTGTAACAAGGCAAATTGCCTTGTCTTTCGTTGGGTCTGCACTGGAATTAATGGCCAGTGGAGACCCAACGCATTTGGTGTGATTCAGCCCTTAAAAAGGAACTTTACCCATATCTTCAAAATAACAACAAAGGCACCTTCAGATGTTTAGTAATGACAAACACATACTTTTAGATATAAGCCGGCTTTGTATTCTTTGCATACATTGTTTTTCTTTTCTTTCCCAGTCTTCTGACAGTGGCCATGTTTACTAAGGGCAGGTTACTAGATCTCCCTTTACTTCTTGGAACTCTGGCACATGTCACTAGGACATGTGACCATGCACATCTTCTCAGGGGAGAAAATGTCTTTCCCTGAGGTCTCATGAGATTACAGATGAGATTTCCTTGCAATGCCCTGCTGATGTAACCTTCCCAGTATGCAATGCTTGGGCACAATTTCATCAGTTGTGCCAAAGTGAACCAGGAAGTGGGAAAAAAATAAATTGTAAGTAAAATAAAAATATGTTTGTTTAGCTAATGAATTTAAGATGATTTCATTTCAGCATGCAGAGCTGTACGCTGATGCGATTTTTAGTCAAAGGGGGTAAAGGTCTACTTTAAGGTTGTTCTATTATCACCAGCAGTTGTGTTCCAGGATCCTCTGTCTTACACACAAAAGATAGTAGTGCTACAAGGTCTGAATAAAAACTAAACAACTTAACAGGTGGGCTAATCTCTCTGTATGCTTTTCATGGTTTAATTTTTAGAGCAGACCTTCCCTGATAAATAGGTCTAGTTTAGAGTCAGTCCTCCAACACCTCACACAGAAATGGCTTGGAAAAAACCCTAAAAAATGTTCTGCTTACAAAAAAAAACCCATTAAAAATATTTACATTAGCCCCAACTTTTGAAGCTTTTGGGAGGAGCAGGTGACATTACCATGACTTGAAATCCCTGCAATAGGCTGGAGTGCATTCTCGTGGAAGCCAGAGACAGGGAAAGTATATTTTTTTATCTTTTTCTATAAATGCTTCTCTTTTAAGATATTTTTTCCCCAAGTTAGTTATGTTTGGGAAGTGGGGGGCTGACAGTTAAGCGAACCTTTTCATTGAAGGTCCACTTTAACACTTACTGTAGCATACCTTTAACCAGCAGTATCAATACAAGGGGTATAATGGCTGTGAGGCTCGCTAGTGTAGGCCTCTTGTTCTCAAGTGGACTTGAACATCTTAATGTGTCTGCCTGTCGTGCAACAAATTTACTAAAAATATGATTAGGGATCATAATATATAAATCCTTTACACATAAAGAGGCAAGCTGATAATTAATAATTTGTAGGAGTGCAGAGGTACTTTCCAGTGTATCCGCCAGAGCCTTGAGAGGCAGGAACAATTGATCAGCAGTGAGGCACAGAGTGCCAGCCATCTCTTGGTAAGAGATCAGATCTTAGGACCACCTGCAGACACACACATCTACTTGTTGTGCTGGACAAATGAGGATTTGGTGAAGGCTTCAGTTGTTTAATAATGCAAATTAAGATTTAAACATGGTGACAATAGAAATCTGTTAATCCTTTTTACAGCGTTGTAAATAGCCATTCAGGCCTCACTTCCAGACCGCCTGCTTTGTGTAGGGTTTAACGTAAATAGGCACTACAAGCATCAGATATCTGCCCAGCCACACACAATTCTAGCCTGCTTTGAAGGCGATTTTCTTGATCAGACCTATAAAACCATCATGTCAGCCTGTAAAATAAAAATCAAACTGATAAACGCAAGCAGTTTGGAGGACTTTGTCTACCAAGACAAATTAAGACAAGCCACAGAAGAGTTTGCAAACAGCTGTGCGTGCATCAACAGAGTATTTGTTTTAGGTGCAAAAAAGCTTGAATATAACCTATACGCCGCTAAGCAGGGATTTTCATTGCTTCCTTAACCAATCTCACCAAACCTTTATTTGGCTAGATAGCTCATTTTCCACCATTGTGATTATGTCTGGGTGGTCTTTCTGGGTGCTGCTTAAAGGGATGGTAATAATAAAGGAGGAGGGTAAGGAAGGGACACTAGCAGAAAGAAGAACAGAATTTATGACAATCTGCAGCAGGCTCGGGATCAGAGGTCAGCAAACAAGAGGTTCTACTCTTTTACAGGTTGCTTCCTGGAAACAGTCTGATTAAGCTGACAGCTTGAATTATATCTGTTACATTCTATAGAGGACAATACATCTGTGCATGGCCCTCTTCAATCCAGCTGAAGCTGTGCAGGAGATGGAGGGGGGGTACCCTTTTCCCTTGGCAGCACAAGCACTGCAAGTATATTTTACTTTCACAATGACTGTCAGAGCTTTTATTAAAAATGTAAATAGGACACATCCCCTAAATTATTGTATTTGTTCTAGAAAAGGACAATATGTAACAAGGCGCCAGACTTGACAGTTTCCTTATTAAACCAAGAATTTATATTCACCAACAAATCACAGCAGAAACTGGACTGCACCTGCCACTAGGCCATATGAGAATTCAGTCTCATCACACATCCTGTAGGGGGCAGTATTGAGAAAACATCTCCAGTTGCTACTTCTCTCCTGGTTCTGTGTCAAAAGGAATGGACTATAAGTGAAGAGTTTTCTGCTGTTGGTTCCCGACTTTATATGCTAAAAGTATTGGAGACTGCTGTAGTATATTTGAACCCAAAAAACACTACTCTCCTAGGCTGTGAAAATGATTGAAGATATCAAAGATAGATCAAAAAAACTCCACAATAGAAACAAAAAAATTTAAAAAAATTATAAAGGTAAAATAGGAAAGAAAAGACATATTTCTGTTAGGCCAAACGCAGGTCAGCAAAATTCCATTGGGTTTTTTTGAGCAGTACACATGGCATTTCAGAGGCTCCTTTCATTGTGCTACAGGGATTCATTCTAGTAAGGTGCATTTAAACTGCAGGTAAAACAGGTCAAATGCATCCTTTCCCTATCAAAAGCTGCATTTTCCATTTGAACATAGCCGCATGCGCTCCAGTGGGAAAGCATTCTTACTGAAGCATGTAGGCACATTACATTTGGCACACAATGCAACCCCAATGCTTGTTTTGCTGGTCTGACAGTGTGTAAATAAGCTACTATATGATGCCTGTTTTTCTGCTGATTGGAAAAAATGGAAATGGAAAACCATTGCCTCTTTGTCTTTGCCGTCTATAGGCACAGGCCTTTTGGTAAATCCAACCGGGCCAAAATCTGTTACACCATCTGAAACTGAAAAAATGTAGTCATTGTGTCTTGCATGTCGCTGCATACTTCCTGCAGATACGATTTTGTAATTGTTAATATTAATGTGTAAATAATGATAGGCAATTTATGGATATGTAAAGATACACAAATAAAGCCCAACTCCAAGATGGAATTAAAACCCTCCTATCCCTCTCCCCCTTCACTACTCACTGGGCTAAAAAAAAAATATATAGAAAAGTTCTTTTTTTTTTTTTTTAAATCTTAAGCTGTGGTCACGTGATCATCTATCGCCGAGTCCTTCTCGTCTCTGTACACTTACTGCTGAGGTCCATTTCTGGGTGTCCAGGCTCCGCTTTAAATATGTAATTTTAATTAGTGCTGAATACTAGAGGTGCACCGAAAATGAAATTTTGCAACCGAAAAAAAAAAGGCAGGAGAAGTGAACAATCTAGGACAACATAGCTGAACTGGAAAGTGAGCTGATTTGGAGATGTTTTCCAAATCAGCTATTTTGGCCTAGATTGTTCACTTCTCCTACCTTCTCCAAACTCTTCACCCTTTTGTGAATAACCGTTAGTGTTTCTGTTCATTCATAACTTGTGGCGATAGTATGTACACCGTGTTCACAATCATGAATGAACAGGATGTGATGTAAAGCACTTCCTGTTCATTCATCATTGGGGACACAGTAAACATACTCTGTCTTCAATTATTTACAAGCAGTCAGCAATCACTGATTACTGACTGCTTGTACACCCTGTCATAGGATGCAGAGCGGGTGGTGCGGGGAGGAGAGCTCAGTCTATTTTGATAACTGACTCTTCACCCGCACCGCCAGCTTGGCCTCCTGTGACAGCTGACAGCTGTCTCCACCATCACAGCGCTCTCCTCCCCCGCACCGCTCGGCCTCCTCTGACAGTTTCTCTCCTCCTGATGCCATCTGTGTTCATGATGGGGAGCTTCACCCCTCTGTCCTGATGACACTGGAACTGTAAATGAGAGCAAATCCAACATATTGACTTGAATAGAAGAGAGGGGAAATCTTCAAAACCAGACACTTGTCGGAGTGTCCTGTTGTATAAACAGAACATGAAGTTAAGGAAAATCTCCTCAATGGGACACAAATGGCAGGAAAAAAAAAAACAGGAGTCCATCATGAAAAACAATGTTTCGGCTTTAGATACACTTTAGACCTAGATAAGGGAATAGCAATGGCACCCAACAGTTCTAGTAAAATAAATAGCACAATGGGGCCTATTCATAAATGAGAACTTCAGTGACAGGGTCACAGCAGAGGCTGTGTCGCAGCTCTGGACCTGGAAAGCTACTCTTCGGCTAACACAGTACACAAAGATCTGGAAAGCATCACAATGCATAACTCCGTGCCTGTAAGCAACACTATAGCCCAATCAAGTGGGGTCCAGGGTCCAGGTAAGGTCATCAAAGTTTTTGCAGAGAAGAAAAGAAAATAAATGGCTAGATAAAACAGTTAA